AACACCCCTGAAACCATTGCAGAGGCATTTAATGATTTTTTTATTAATATTGGAGAATCGTATGCCAAAAGTATTACAAAACTAAATACAGCCTTACCACTCACTGAGATAAACCCAAAATCTCTTTTTTGCGTCCTGTAAATACTAATGAAATTCTTCAGGTCTCTAAAAAATAAAAAATCTCCAGGATTTGATGATATAAAAACAGAAATTTTCAAAGAAACTGCTGATTTAATAGTACAACCAATTTGTCATATCATAAATAGAATATTTGTTTCCAGTAAAGTTCCAGATGAATTTAAAATCGCAGTTGTAACCCTTATACATAAAAAAGGCGAAGTAAAAAATATAAATAATTACAGGCCAATCTCAGTTATAACTGTACTGGCTAAATTATTGGAAAAAGCTTTAACAAATAGAGTATCCACACTTTATAACGATTGTAACATCATATTAGAAAAACAATTTGGATTCAGAGAAGGTTTATCAACAAATGATGCCATAGGAAAATTTGTTAATGAAATTACAAAATGTTTGGAAATAAATAAACCGGTGTTATGCGTTTTACTTGATCTGGCCAAGGCCTTCGACACTGTGAGCCATACACAGATGTTGAAAGCTTTGGAAGCTGCAGGTGGGGAACCTAAACAATTATTTGCAGATTATTTAACAAATCGAAGACAAGTGGTAAAAATAGACAAGACATTTAGCAAAGAAAAAAAATAGTTAACTACGGTTTACCACAAGGAACTGTTTTGGAACCACTTTTGTTTACATTGTATATTAATAATATTCTTACATCAGCTTCTAGTGGGCAATTATTTAGTTTTGCAGACGACACCGCCGTTTTATATACCGACAGTGATTGGGACCGTCTAAAAATCAAAGCAGAAAGAGATTTATCTAAAGTTTTTGATTGGTTTAAACACAAATTACTAACTGTAAATTATGAAAAAACCTTTTTTATGTCCTTTTCAAATAATTCTAGATGTCTCCGTACGTATCAGTCTAACTATTCAAAATAATACAGAAAAAAAATCATTAAAATCTAATAGCAGTTATAAATATTTAGGAGTTACTATCGACTCACACTTAAGGTGGAATATACATATTGAAAATATAACTCAACTACTAAAACAACTTTTATACCGTTTTAAATATTTAAAAAAATGTTTAGACGAAAATCACTTAAAAATACTGTACTATTCTTCGTTCTGCTATACTGAGTTCGGGCGGTGCTGCATTTTGCTACCTAAAACAACTTGACATAATTCAATATGCAATTTTTCGAATCTGGTATACACAATTGATTGTTTTAGAAAATAAATCTCATCAAAATTTTACCACTTTTCCTTAACATTTATCTCAACTCTTTCGTTTTTAGTACACCCCCGATTCTTATTTATATTTCCCAATTATTCCCTATCTAATCTAATTTTTATTTTATACTTCTGTTATATCTGTTTCAATTTCATTATATTTTTACTTTTTTTTATTATTTCATTGTTTATATCATCTATTTGTTTTCGTTTTATTTTAATTGTTCTATGATATTTAAACAAATATTTCCAATCGCTTTTATATTTCTTTTTTTTTAGTTATATATGCTTTCTTTACTCCTTTATCTTGTTTTCTATTTTCTTCTTTATTTTTTACTTTTTTTCATATTTATTTCGGTTTCTAAAATAAAAGTTTCTTAATTTTCTACTTTTACCTCTTCTACTTCTACCATTACTTCTTTAATTTCTATATTTATTTCAACTTACTTTACTTCTACCTATACATCTTTTTTCTTTAATTGTCTTATTGTCTTTAATTGTTTTATTACTATTTATTTCTATAATTTCGTCTATTTTCTTAATTATTTCTTTTTCATCTTCTTATCGCTCTCTTGAATCTGATTTTCAACTATATCAAACGTTTTTTTCTTATATTCCTTATTGTTTTCTTCTAATTTATCCATTTTATTATCATTTCTCTTAGTGCTTTCCTTAACTTTCTTCATCAATTTTTCCTAATTTTCCTTTCTGTTCCCATCCATTTTTTTACTTTTTTTCATCCAAATTCTCATTTATTTTAAGTAGCAATTGCATCAAATCTTCCATCTTAATCTCTTCTTTATTCTCTTTAGTTTCAACACTATCTCGTTGTTCCTCATATTCTTTTCCTTCAATCACTGTATCTCCTAAATTTTGCTGGTTCTAAGCTTTCCTCATGTTTTTCCTTCAATCCAACCTTGGCACATGAGAAAACTAAAGAGAGCCAGCACTAGGTTAAGCAGGAAAGGAACAATACCTGCAATGCCAGCTTACACGGCCTGGCTAACGTTTCAACGCGGTCGGTTAAAATAAATGGCAACGTTGACACCATTTCTTTTGTTATAACAAAAGTTTTATTCAATATTCTTCTGATATAGTTAAATATGTTCTATCAATTATTAATTTTATAAACATTTACCATAAACCTGTAATACTTTCGTGGATATTTTTATGTTTATTAATCTTATTAGATTCTATGTATCTCCAACACGGTCCATATTAAAGACATCATGTATATAACAAAACTTATATTATTGATAATGATATTACAAAAAAAATGTTTTCCAAATAAATTTCTTCTGCAATTATATCAAAAATTAGAAAAATTACTCTTTGCAAAGTACCCCGTCAATTGCTCCGACTGTGCCCAAAATGCGTGTCAATTTTTTCTGATATCTTTAAACAGTCTAGAAGAATTCAAAAAAGTTTGGATATAGGCTATAAATTCGATAGATCTATGAAAAATTTTAAATATTTCTAAAAACATGGGTTAACAAGACAATTCTTGAAAATAAAATGACAAAAATATCATCCAAGTGTTATCACATTCAATTGCGTACACTGTCTACAGTCTTTTACTTATTATTTTTTTTTTTTTGACTTCTTGTTTAAAATGGCTTTTTAATTTTTGTAGACTGCTTCTAATTTTTAAAATGTGACTAAAATTTATATACCTATAGATGTAATGATTTTTTATTTATAAACAAGATTGCTAATACTAATAAGTTATAAAATATACAATATTTACAGGATTATTCTTATTATTTTGTTCATAATTCTCAATTTACTACAATTTAATTTTTAAAAAATTATCTTTTCTAGTTTCTTCTGTTGTACCTTCTATTTCTTATTATTATCATCTTTATCTTTATTTTCCTTCTAATATTTTTAGTATCCTGTCAAACTCCTTCTTGGTACATTCTCAAATATGCTAATCTTTATGAACCTCTTCTTTGGTCCAAACTTTATTATAGCTCACTATATTTCCATTCTCACTTATCTTTTTAAACATTTTCACTGTAAGTTTTTCTTCAGTTATATATCTTCTTCCAGACCTCTTCTATGTTCTTCCATATTTGGTATTTTTATTTGCGAAACCTTCTTTATTTTTTGGCCATCTTTTTATTGATTATAATAATTTTTGTTACTGAGGTAGCTATTTTCTTCTATTCCATTTGTCTTTTATTTTGGTTATTTCTTGTTGAATTTATTTTACTATTACTTTATTGTCCTTATCCTCTTGTAAATTCTCCAATTCTGTTATCCTAGTTATCACCTCAACTCCTATATCATTCTTTGTTTCTTTAATCCTTTCGTTTGTGGTTGTTTTATCTCCTTTACCTTTCAAACAATTTCTTTGCTATCAATTTTTGGATTTCTTCTTTTAGGTTATTCATCTAGTTACCCATTGCTTTATTTTCTTTAATCTCTTCCTCTATCTTCTCATTTAGTCCTTGCATTTTCTTCATTAATTCATCCATATCTTCTTTTCTACTTTCATTCAAATTCTTCTTTTCTACTTTCATTCAAATTCTTCATTTCCCCTTTTATTTGTCTCATGTTCTTATTAATGTATCCTTTCATTTGTCTCATTATTTGACTTCCATCTTTATTTATTCTTGCTGTTGGTTTTGTTCTATAAATCTTCCACAATGTTTTCATCCTGTACATCCCTATCTTCTTGTTTTATAAGTTCCTCATATTCTCTCCCAGCAACTTTCTTTCCCCCTCTTAAATCCATTTGCTCCAGTTACTGTCATCAAAACAAGAAAAGCTCACTATTATATATCTGTATTCTATTAATTATGATGGTATTTTAAAATTTCACCCCCTAAATACTTGAATATCAGATACGCACTATACACTGTTACTGTTTTACTGACTCAATACAATACTTCCAAACTCAAAAAAATAGTTTAAAACAATTAAAAATATAAAATTCTTACCAAATTTTAAATTCCCAACAAAAATTTAAAATTTTCCCCTAATTTTTTTCAACTCCAAGTTGGGCGCTACTTGATATGAAAACCCCCTTTGGTTGTTTTTGATTTCCAATCAATAATTTTAATTTCTAGGTGTAAAAAATTAGTAACAAATAAAATTTTTTTATTGTTTTCTTTCTTCTTTTTGCTCACCTCTACCTATCTCTATCATCTTTGCTTTCTCTACCTGTATACTTTTCTCTACTGTCTCCTATCAAGTTAACTATCTCTGATTATCTTTACTATCAGCTCTCCTTTTTTTCCTTAGACTCCAATTAAATCAAATTTTCTTGACCTGTGTTACTTTATTTTCTTTATTTAAACTCTCAAAATCAACAGTAATGTAATGAATTCCAAATGTACAATCTTATAAATACTCCAGCAATCAATAATAAATATCCCAACTACTATTTCATTCTAAAATTTTCTATACCCCACCCCGATATTGCTATCTTCAATTTTATGACGTCATCCAAAAATTTCCATATCAGTATATAACTTGGCTGCACTTCCCCACAAAAGATGCTTGAAAGAGAATGTACCTAGTTTTAACAATATATTTAACAAAAAAAAAAACAATACTTTCTCTTAGTTGAAGCCTAATCAGATAGTTAAACAGTATTATTAGAAAAAAAAACTGTAATATTTAAATAAACGATCTGTTTAAATCATTTTAATACATACTAAACTTTTGTTCCAGATTCTCCTTTCTTGCACTTTCGCAATTTCTTACGCAGGCTATGCCGCTCAATATTACCAACCGCAACAGTACCAACACCAACCCATCCACATCCCAGTGATAGGCCCCGATGGTGTCCCAGTAGAAACACCCGAAGTACAAGCAGCCAAAGCCCACCACTATGCCGAATACGCCAAAACATTATCCCGACCAGGACAAAACATTCCAGACACGCAGGAATACGGTCACGGCGGTGGAGAAGGACACTACTCGGCTCCGGCTCCTGTTCAATACTCGCACGCTCCTGCGTACTACAAAGGACCTGGAGGACCTCCAGCTCCCCTTGGCCATGATGGACAAGTAGTAGAAACTCCTGAAGTACAACACGCTAAAGCTGCTCATTTTGCCGCTTACGCTGAAGCTGCTTCCCGCGCTGGTTATGGAGGACACGGACATGGTGGTCATTACAGAAGACGTCGTGGTATTTACGGCGACTACCACGTTCCAGTCCTAGACCACAATGGTGTCCCAGTAGAAACACCTGAAGTACAAGCTGCTAAAGCCCATCATTTCGCTGAATACGCCAAAGTACTCTCTCGTCCAGGACAAGACATTCCCGATGTTCAAGAATATTCTCATGACGGTGGTGCTGGTCACTACTCACCCTCTCCAGTACACTATTCTGCTCCTATACAATACTCTGCTCCTGCTCATTACGCCTCAGCTCCCGCTTATTCTCACAATACTTACCACGGACCCTATGCCGAAATTGGACACGACGGCCGTCCAGTTGAAACCCACGAAGTCCAGGCAGCCAAAGCAGCACATTTCGCCGCCTACAATGCTGCCAAGGCAGGTCAATACGGTCACCACTACTATTAGAACAAAATTTTCATGGTAAGCGGATGGAGTTTGTAGTTCCAAGATGGTTTGTTTTGGTCAACTACATAGCCGCCGGCTTGCTGTTGAGGAAAAGTGATATATTAATTGTAATATAGGATAATTACCAATTGTTAACCCATATAAGACTTATAGCGACAATAAAAATTGTTATTATATAGATGGTTTATTTTATTTAACCGTTATTTTTACAGAGAGAGTACCGAAAGTTATAAGCAGACCTAGAAGACATCAAAGGTGGTAAAGTAGGTAAAAAAGTAACAAAACTAAATGTGTTTTTCTGTCTTGAAAAGTAAATCAACTGAGTGCGAAACAAGGGTAATTCTAAAAAGGTTTATTTGTCTTGTTCCCGCTATATAATCTCTTCCATCTACTCTGATAAGGTCCCTCTTTTTGAAGAGTTTCCCTGAGGTGTAACACACCTTATCAGCTGCTTGCTTATAGTCTGTAGTCTGGAATTGAATATATTGATGAATGTTGAATGTTTTTGAGAAAATGATAATTTCTCGTTATGAAAGAAAAATTAAATATCTCAGGAAACATTATGGCCACAATCTTATATCTAGATTTTCTGATGGTAAACGTTTAGTTATTTTAAATACAACGTATCTATAGCAGGCCTATTCTATGCCCTTTGAGTTTTCTAGTCAATGATGTACCTAATTTACTGCTTTATCTGGTGGAATTTTAGAGAAAGAAAGAATGCTTTGTATTTTTACTAGACGCTATTTTTTTAATCCTTCTTTATGTCTTTCATGAAGTCTTTCACTAGCAGGTATTTTCTCTTCTTTAATGGTGATAAGACAAATATGTAATTTAATTCAATAATTAGGTACCAAAAACATTGTATTGCTTTTAACATATTTATCAATAATACAATTCTTAAAACCTAAAAACAAAAGTTTTTGGAACAGCTGTTCCAATTTGCAACCTTTTATTTTGCATGAAAATATTTTGTTTTTTTTTAATATATCAAAATATATTTTTATTTTCCTCTAATTTTGTCAAAAAAAAGAGCAAAAGTTTTGAAAATTGGTTGCAAATGTTAATATTATTTTTCTTAAATTTGCAACTTCGAACTAGGTTGTGAACCTTGAAAAATTACCAAAAATTCAATTTTATCTTGAAAAATCTTTATACATAGAAAATAAAAGAAAAATGTACAATATAAAGATGCAAGCGGGGTATTAGAAGTGCAAATGTATAAAAGTTATAACTGAAGGTGGCAGCTAGGGTTACCACCTTTTTAAAAACTGCAAAAAGGACTATGATGCTAATAGGGGATCCGGTCAAAAAAAAGGTCGAAGAGTGTGTAACAAAAAAGACCTCGTCCTTCTATTGAGCTTCAACAAAAAAAGGGCGATGAGTGTAACAAAACAAAGTCTTCGACCTAGCTTCTACCAAAAAAAAAGGTTCTCGCCTTGTATATTTTGTATAAGCCAGATACAGACATATGCCGTTAAAAAAAGGACATTTTAAGCTTTTAAAAGTCGCAAGGAAATTTGGCTTGAAAAAAGGATTGTCTTTTTTAAAAAAGGTGGCAACCCTAGTAGGAGCATATATATAAAACTAATTCTGAGAATAAAATAATATGAATCATTATTTTAACGATTGCATGCATGACCTCGAAAATGGGATTTCTTACAACTAACAAAAACCCAAAATCTATGGATACATTTTTAAATAGGTCCTGCACGGTCAGAGAAATGTCCCTAAGGTTTAATGAAAAGTTCCATCTTGACCTACTGATTCAAAATATCATCTGGAAAACTGACCAATGTAGATGGACCAAATATTTTTATGTCTCAACGACATAGGTATTTTTAATAAAATATTTCTTAACGTAACTTCAGTAAGAAATGCTTATCGAGTATTTTTACATATTTAATGAAGATATCGTGATAAATGGTTCAGATTTACAAGATGAAATAACTTTTCGAGTAACATCCGCATTTTAAGAGCGAGTGCTCACGAACGTTTGTTGCAGTCGCGTCGACGCAACGGTCGGTGACGTCGAAATACATTTAATCAAGTCTGGACGCCATATCGCAGTGATACTTTGGCGTTGCAAAGATATATTAGTTTGTATCAAGAATTAGACACGAAATATGGTAGAAAACGTAGTAGCTATGGGCGATGAGCAATCCGACACAGAATTATTCTAAAATAAATAAAGGAACATTCCTAAATGATCTTGTTTTATTTAAGCATTAAATTAAAAAAATATATTCATTTTTATTTCTTGTGTCAAAAAGCTTAATGTGAAAGAACCTTTTAACCTTTAGTAAATGGAAACTTAAGTAAGGATACACGCAGTATTTCCTCTTCTTCCTCACAAACTATAAACAAATATCACTTCTTTTTTCGAACTTACATCCATCCTTTCTGTTCTTAAGACAAAACCGAACCTCTCGCGAAAGCAAAAATGTTTTAAGGATTTTTTAATATAAAATTGTATTTGTATGTGTGCCATTGGAAATACTTCGTGATAGTATGTGTCTTGACAATATTGAGAGATTTAAATTTGTGCAACGATAAGGTAGCACTCTACAAAGACGTTTAAGAAAAAAAAGGTGGGAATGCATTCTATTTAAAAACTACTAGATATTTATTAAAACAAAAAGCAGTAAATTTTTATACATTTAATACAGAATGGCGCGTAAATGTTTTTTTTAATTCTTTTACCAATTTTTCAAAATAAATACTTTGCGAAAGTTAACAAAAAATTTAAGGTTTCTCCACCCTAAGTTTTGTTATTATTGGTATTTCCTGAAAATTTAACAAAAATTGGACTAAAAATAAAGGCTCAGAATGAATTTTAAATTTACGAGGTGTCCGGTTTGCTCTTAAGACGAATTTACTCTACCTTGTTTCGGGACAGAAGTCAAGAAGCGCTGCATGTCAATTAAAAATTGCGTTTGCGTCAACGTAACGTTAACGCGACTGCTAAAAAACGTTCGTGAGCATCGACCCTAACAGGTATTTTCGAGGTTAAACTAAGAAAATACCTTGTATAGTTGTTATATTATTGTTATATATTAACGTATATGTTAACGTACAGAAATTTTAGAAAAAATTCTCAATTTGCAGTTATCGGTTATCAAAAATAAATTGTTATAAAAATTAGTATTTAGTCAAATATCAGGGCTGTCACTCTAGACAGAACTATGCACAGATATTTGATTATTATATTGAAAAATAAAATCGGATTAAAACATAAATATGTAAGCCCAATTAGTAACACTGTCACAAAATTAATATATTAAGCATGAAGGACATTTGCAAAATTTATATTTCGTGATTTTAAATTCAAATTAATGTGAAGAAATAGGCTAACATTTATTAACGGGATCACTTGCCAATAATTTTTAAACATTCATTCGTTTTTCTATAATAATTGCTTCAGGAAACATCTACTGTGATTGCATACGGTTTTTTATTAGATTTTTATCGTTGTACATTTTTCTGTAAATAATAATGAGAAAAAGCTAAAAGCTTCTTATAGCTACAGTTTTATTTTTTCATTTGTCAATTTTAGGTTTCAGTTATAAGGCCGAGTAAATAACAAAACATTATTAAATGACCCACAAGAATGTTATGTTTGATAAGAAAGTCCTACTAGTAACTTTTTAAAATAATCATTGTATTGATTATATACAAAATATTTATTGATAAAACAAGGAAATGGAAAACGGTATTTTGTCACTAACGAAATACATCATTTGAAACTTTGACACAGTTGGTTCTACTTCAAACAAAATTAAAATATTTTTTGATTTTCACAAAATTGAAAGGAAATAAATATACAAATTAAGGTATTATGAAACTGCTGTTTCAATGAAATAAATTTACAAAAACAAAACATGATTTAAATGATCCAGAATTATCAAAACCATTAGTTATCTCAATATTAAATTTTTCTAAATTCATTGATTCTTAAAATTGGATATGTGGGAAGTCTGGATCTTGATATTCGTTATCGGATGTGTCGTCACTCGGGCAATCAAAGTAAGTTTCTAACGGTGCTCCGAATCCATTGCTTTGGGAACAAAACTTACCCATTCGAGTTATACACTGGATGCTTTTATAACGACTAATTTTATTTTCCGATTTCATGAAAACATTTCACTCAAATCCAACCAGATTTTTTAGGATTTTTCACGAATCAGTAAATTACACTCGTCCAGTTCAGTGGGTAGTTATAACATAGCGATGTTTTCTTGAAAAATAAACTCTATTCCAAAACTGCAATTGACCGACGTCGACGCGACGGTTCGATATAACCCAAAACAAACCCTATTATTATTATCTAAATGACCTATTTACAACGATATTGGGTTAATTTCTTATTCTTGGCTCGATTTACGATATTGATTGTTTTCTCTTCTATGTACTAGTTTATAGCGTTTTGGCCAATTAATTAATATGGGGTAAATATAAATATTCTCTGTAAACTCGATAAAAAACGAAAACAAGAAATTATTTAAATGTTTTGCTTGATAAGTATAAGGTTACAAATTTCATATTGCTTGTGAATATTTTTTTTATTTATCGTTCTGTAAAATTTGCAATATTTTTCAAATTTTTTGGCAACTGCAAAATGTGCGAATTGTTGATTTTTGTTCATTTTCAGACCTTGTTCGGGGTTGCAAATTTACCAGATTGTTAAGAAAAATATTATTAACATTTGCAACCAATTTTTAAAACTTCTGCATTTTTTTGACAAGGAAAATAAAAAATTATTTTGATCTAAAAAATATTTCCCTGAAAAATAAAAGGTTGCAAATTGGAATAGCTATCCAACAACTTGTATGAGTTATGTCATCGGTTTGGAGCACTTTTGCAATTTTTTGTCTATTAAAAAAGTTGCAAATCTGATATAAGGTTGAAAATAATACAATATATATTGCTTCAAGTTTGCAGCTTTTTGGCAATTTTTTTCTCAACATTATAAACAAAAGCGCCATTTTGGTATAAATTAACTAGTTCCGGACCTTGGAAATGGTTGCAAATTTAAACTTAGTGTTACTTAAACTAGTCGATTATTATTGCAAAGTTTGAAAACTTCTGTAATTAATGTGAAATATTCAAAATAGGGTGTCTTCACTGACTGCCCTATCAAGTCATAAAACAATAAAGATATGGCATATTTTAAGGATC